TTTTTTTATCTTAGTTTTGGCTGCATTTATACCTTATTTTTTTTACCGTGATTATTTATTTATTTTGGGATTTAAGAAAATGTTTTCTTTATAAAAAATATTCAATATCGGATTACTCGATAAACTGATGAGAATACTTAATTATTTAATAACAGACAGCTCCAGCCCTACTCTTAAGCCTGAAAAATAAATTTCTACTGACGTGAAATTCAGAAAACACCTTACCAGTTTTTCAGTCACTTTTTCTAACTCAGCTTTTTCTTGAGGCCCCATATGTGGAAGTTGAGCTAGGCAGACACGTAAAGGTGTGTATTAATGAACACACACTTTTAATAGCATTCATACATGTATGTTTATGTGCCTATGAGAACACATATTTACATTAACAAACATATAGTATAAAAAAGGGGTAAAACGGGTATACGGAGTGTGATGTTTTTGGAGTTTACCGAAAACTGCAGAGGCCAAGATGAGCAGAACCAAACAGGCTCCTCCCTTCGGAGCCATGTGGATAGGCTGTGCGTCTGTTCGACAGGATGGTATTACATAACGTGTTAACATGAACACAAATGACATGTTTGGCACAGATCTTCATTCTTGGGCTTTAATTTCACTTCTAGTTGCATGCAGTTAATCCTCATTGGTCTTCACTTGTTGTTGAAACTGTCTCTATGTGAGCCACCTCCAGTTTTGTGATATACTTCCTCCAGTGAGGATTTATGATCACACTTTCCTAGTAACCGTGTGAGCTATTCATCCTTTGGGGAATCTCTGAGGACTTTGGAGGATAACTTGCAGTGAAAAACAGGTTTGGTAATGCACGCAATGTACTGTGGAACAATGTTTTAGCACCACGTTGTTGTCTTCTCTTCTTTTGTCCTATCATTTTTACCTTTTTTAAATGTATTTGGTTCACATTCATTAGGATTTCCCTTCACCAACATTTGGATACTGTTATGTTGAATTCACTGTTTACTTGACAGAGATTTTTCTTCTCATTTAAATATTTCAGCAGATTATGAATAATAAAGAATGAAAAGAGTATTAGAACAAAAATGAGTGTTTTAACCACGCAGTCTCAACAGTGTGTATGTAAGAGCAGGATTTAGAGCATATCTTTTCTTTACTAGTATATCATCTATTAGCGAGAAAAACAAAACATTAAAATATAAATGTTCATCTGTGCCAGATCTGTACAGGTTTACAGTTAAATTTAAATAATAGTTTACAAGAACTGAGAAAGAAAAAAAAAAACTTTTGCAACTTATGAATATATAAATTAGTTGTTACTTACAGATTACCAGTCTTCTCCTTGGTAGATCTGAGAAAAAACAGGATGCATAAGCATAAGAGTGTTCGTCCTCTGTGCCTGTACTTCGTGACTAATGTGATCTGGGAGGATGTCCACCTGTAACTGACACAGTCAAAGCAGGCAGATGGCATTAATACAGCACTGTGAGTGTGTGTGTGTGTGTGTGTGTGTGTGTGTGTGTGTGTGTGTGTGTGTGTGTTTGTGTGTGTGTGTGTGTGTGTGTGTGTGTGAGTATTTGCTTTTTTAACAATCAAAATAAGTTTCACGTTGAATTCACAAAATTTCTGATTCTTCAGGCAAAACCTCAGTAATAAGTCAAAACAGTTTTGTCTTTACTCATTGCTAACACCGCTGAGCATTCATTATTACATTCATGTAACTCAGATTTTTCCAATCAAGCATGTGTGTATTGCAGTTCTAGAAAAAATAAGAAAACATTAAGCAAAATTAGAACTGTCACCCCACAGTTACTACCTCCTAACTATTTTACAACGTGCTACGGCGTGTCTGGTGCGATTAAGCTCTTAAGTTCCTCCAATCACACAAGAAAAAGAAACATCAACTTTCACATTTTATATATACACAGTATATCTCATAATTAAATCCTATATCACAGCAAAGCATCTAATAGACATGCTGGTCCACCATGTCCATTTCACGCTTTGCCTATTCTAAGTGTGAAATGGACACACATGCAGAAATTGCAGTACCAGCAGGGGGAGATTCTATATTCAAAGCCAAGAAGTCGCTGGCGAGCAAGGAAGGTATGAATCCAGGGTCCTTGAACAATTAAGCTAGGCTACTAGTATGTATTTACACTGTAACTGTTGGTAATGTCTGTTTAAACACTTTTCTGTGATATTTTCATGTTTAAAATAAAATATCTCTCTCTGCTGGTACTGCAGCTTACTGAAACTTACTACAACTTTTGCATGTGTGTCTATCACACAACAACCTTTTCACACATGGTTGTTGTGTTTTGTTGATAGAAGATGTGGTTGTTTTGTTTGTAGTACCAAGTGTGAAATAAATAAAAATGAAATGAAATGAAATTATTGTTTACTTTGCCATTATATTGAGTTGCATAGTTATTATCAAGTATGAATCAAACAAACATCGTGCTACAGAAGAAAAACCTTGAAAGAGGGCACTTCAATGGGTAAATTGTGAAGTGACATATAAATCTGGTCTTATAAAATTCTGTTATTTGTTTGCATAAACTATATAGAAAACCGTATGTGGACAAAATCAAGCATTTAAACACTCTGCTTTAACAAACATTTGTTTAAGAATGGGTAATTAAAAAGAGCTCATTGAATTTGTGCGTGGCATTATAATACAATGCCAACATTACAACAAGTTTGTGAAATTTTCTCTCTCCTAGATACTCCTCGATTAACGATATGTGAAATTGCAAAGTGGAAGCATTTATGAACCGCAGTAGCTCAACCATAAAGAAGCAAAGTTGCTGCTGAGGTGGCTTAAAGTTTCAGAGCAGGGCTAACAAGTGCGTGCCTATTGCCTAACTGCAGACCTCCAAACCTCCTCTGGAATAAGTCTAATGTGTGAGTGGTCCAGGAGCTTTGATCATATCATGTATGGGCATGTATATATATCATGTAATTCTCATCTGCTGTGCACATATACTAGTTAAATTACATTAGTAGCAAGTGTCAACAAAAATTAAGTGCTGTAATTGCGTATAAGGTCTGGTGAAGAGAACATTAATTCACCTAAAAGTTATCAATAAAATCATTCACAAATCATTAATAAAAGTAATAATTGGTAACTCTGAAGCTGTTATTCTAATAAATTCAGTGAAGCACAATGTTTATTTAGAGTTTATGTCATGATAATATCTCAGTTAAATTGTATTTAAGATAAACATACCACAGCTCATATACAAGTATTTTTCATATAAAAGTGTGAAGTCAAAACAAAAAAAGACTATTTACATTTTCCAGGGCAAAAGCACATAAATATGAAACAACTGCCACCGGCGGGTAAGGCTACTATTAAAAAAACAGTAACTAGCTCACCCATCGTACTATTAAGTAATTAAAATATCTGACAGGACACTAGAACAATAATATTTTTTAAAATTGATCATAATATCTAGAGCACTGAGCACTGTGCAGTTGCCTCACTAGTTCCTAACAAGCAGTATTCAAAGAAGTCCATGTAGCTGAGCTTAAATAGCTCAAATGGGATTAAAGCAAATCACACATGGGGCACAATTAAATCCTTGTCTCTTTACAATAATACATCAGATGGACATCCTTTTCTCGTTAAAATATAATTACACTATTACCTAACTGTTATGTTAAAATCAATAAAGAAATTAAATTGAATTCCTTCTTAACTCTTCTTCAAATTAGACCAAACTAGAAACAGAAATAGACATCAAAATAAAAACACACCCCAACCAAGTAATCGCACTCATGTCAGTTTAAGTCTGGTCAAGGGTTAAGCTCAAATTTTCTAATTTAACATTTACTAATATTAAATATTTACTTACTAATATTTCCAAACATAACATAAGCTAAATAAGCTAATAGTTACGGGTTAGCAAATGTTTACTCATTAGCCTACTATTACCATTAGCCGTTTTTCACATACACCTAAACAGACTGAAATGGTTACAAGAACAATAAAGAACTTATACGGATGTTTTTATTTCATGTGTTTTCAGCTCACATTGATCCATTTACCTTCACTATTTCTGTGCCACCAGCTCCTTGCCCTATGTTAAAACAAATTTCTGTTAACTTAGCTAAGTAAGCTAACGAGCTATCTTTTACTTATTAGCCTATTGTTACACATCAAAAAATGCCTGTAAAGATTATAGGAAGGTGAAAAAAGTTAATAATGCAAATATTCTTGCTTAATGTCTTTTACCTTCAGCTGTCCAACTTTTTTCTGCTTATGGCTGCTGAATTAATTCTTTACTTTGCTTGTTTTTTTTAAGTTAGCTAATATTACCTTTATTTATTAGCTTACTGTTACTGGTAGTACCATTCAAACAATAGAAAATCTGTCTATAAAGATTTAAATAATCACAGAGAATAGTTGCCAAAAAGAAAAGAAGCACCAGATAAATGCAGTAAGTTGGCCTATACCTTTTTACCTTCTGTAATTTTTTGGTTTAGCCAAGTCGATCCTATTTTCACTGCAAAAGGATTATCATAAACTGGCCCGCCTATCTGGAAAGAGTTTATGTCCACCTCCTATGCACATGGAACTTACACTGTGAAGGAGGAAAAAGTGATTCTTTAAATTTAAAAATGGTTTAGGTGTCTGTGTTTGATTCCTAATATCCACGACCCCTTGCTTAACCAAAAGTTTACATTAATTATATTAGTGGTATTAGTGCTTTCTTTCTGCTTTCTAGTCTAATAAACAACCAAATAACTCAAATTAAACTAATTTAAACTTATGCTACAGCTGTAAAATTTAGTTAGTTAGGCATCTAAAGATACTTATATTTAAACACTTATTTTTTGAAAAAAAAATTTTTTTGTTATTGTTAGGCAGGTTGTGCTAGATCTGTGTATTCTACTAACAACTATATGACAAGCTTATCTTAAATTGTCTTCAAGGGTTAGACTGATAAATAATTCCTGTATATCAGCCAGGTTAACCAATAATTTGCATTTTCTTGTCAGTATGGCTTTCTAGAGTGTGGATCGTGGCTTTAAAAAACATTTTATTGTGTAATTTATATAAATACTTGTGGTGACGTGACAAAATATTTAATACCACTCAAGGTATATCAAGGTAATTATACATTTAAGGATTCTAATTAATAAATCAGGATGGATGGATGCAAACTGCATTTCGTTGCCCTGTACCTGTGCATGTGCAATGACAATAAAGTTGAATTCTATTCTATTCTATTCTATTCTAAATAAGCATAAAACCCTTTAGGACCCTTGTCCACAAACTGGACAATGGAGCAACTGAAGCAGCATCATTGTTCCAAAAAACATAGTCCATAAATTTTTTTTATCAATGTAGAGAAAACATAGGTGAAGTTGTTGGAAGTGTTTTAGTTTGTCTCGCTGTTTCCTTCCATTTTGGGGAGAATAGTTTCTTCAAGGTTTGGGTTTGAGAAGTGATCTGAAAAAGTCCAACAAAAGAGAGAAATTGTAAAAAAAAAAACGTGGCAGACTTTAAATATGTATTTATATTTATTCACTAACTAAACACTGGGCAAAAGGATGAATGTGAAAATAAATAATAGTGACCAACTGGCCATTTTTGGTGTTGATGCACACTGCACACAACTCACCTGCAGCAAACTCACGGATGTCAGCTGGCTGTTTGTGAAGCACATCCCTGTGAGGAGAGGTGGCAAATGACAAATTATTGCTCAAGTAGACTTGAGTGATGGTGCTTTAAGCTTTGGGCTGTCTGGAGGCCTTTTAAAATTATTCTTTGGACTTGGGCTCATTGTCAGTCCATCAAAAGAATGGTTATTTTAAGTTTGTTTGTTTGTTTATTTGTTAGTTGCAAAAGGCAGACAATATCTAGAGAGCTCTGGGATGTCCCTAAAGAAGCCTCGAGAACTATTCCTGAATACTACTTAACAAAATTACAAGAAAACTTTTGTAAAATCGTTTGTATTTTGCTCCATACTGTATCCACATGCATGTTTGCACAAGTTTAAATAAATCACTGCACATATTTCCCATTTTCCCAGACAAATATAAAGATATGAGACACAAGACTATCGCACAGTATAAGATGATGATATATTGCTCAGATATTAGATTAATTATTCCAGAATTATTGAATTGGTTTTTTATTTTTTGAGGCTGTTAAAACCTTTTTTGGCAGCTCCAAAATCAATTTAAGCAGGGAAAACTCAGATTTTAATACTGATGTTGTAACATGTGTTAAAAATATGATACAGAGACTAAGCTTGAATAGCAGAAACCATATTGCAGTACATTTATTGGTGTAAATCCTTTTCAGGGTATACATATATTGTATTATTATATTGTAAAATACATTGTAATCTTTCATACATTTCTTTGAAAGGGTAGCTGCTTCCACTGAATGTACAGAGGTTATTAATATAATATGTTATACACAGTGAAAATAAAATGAAAGTTTGCATATTACCCTAGAAATGTAACACTTGCTGTAAGATAAACAAATACAAACAAAATTAAACTTAAAGCAGACAGTGTTAAGTTCAACAATAAAACATCACAAACATTTTTTCCCCATTCAGCATGTATTTTTGTGATATTAATGTGAACTTGAGCAGACCTTAGAAAGTCGCCTATGAGTACGTCTACTTCGGGATGCGACCTCAAATACCTCTCGTTGTCGATTCTCGTCTTGATCTGGGTCAATGCGAAAAGCATTTCAGGACATAGCTTACAAATAAAGGTGGTATTTTAGCGTTGAGAAATGCAACACGTTACCTTAAACTGTCGCAGTTTCTCTTGCTGCTCAGCGTTTAGTACAGAGACGTCTAGCTTGGTCACACCGCCTGTCTCAGCCATCATTTCTCTAAGAAAATGCTATTTTTCTGTCAAAGTGCGAACCCTGCAGTGTTCACTGACTGCAAATCTACAGCGAACCCTGAAGTCACGATAAGCACGAGTCAACCGTTGCTAACACAGTGGTTTGGCAGTAACGGTTGCTATGGAAACGAAGTACCGTACACAATGAACGGCAGTGTCCGCGAGGTGGCGGCATACGTCAATACCACGTTTGAGCCGTTGCTGTGCAAAAAAGTGATTGACTACTAAATAACGATTTAATTCTCTCTCTCGCTTTTGAAATCTGTGATCTATTTGCTTAAATAGGCTGCAGTAAACATGATCTACAAAGGGGTTATATATTAAATGAAGAAATATCCTGCTTTGAAACCATCTTTATTACAATCCATCCAGCCCTTTTTGGCCACGTTACAGAACAGTGACACTATGTATGTATACCTTGCAATTTCTGTTGCCTTCTTGGCCAGATTTCTCTTGAAAAATACTTTTTTTTTTTAATGTCAGTGACACTTTTTATTTGGAACCCCCTGGAAAACCGATTACATCTTCTATCTTGTGACGACTATTTTTTCTCCGGCTCAAAACGAGTTAGTATCATTCTTGACAGATCGATATGCTTGACATATTATATACCCATCATTTGGATATGAAGTCACCAAAACTGCCCCACTGCTCCTTGGCCATCTCATTCTCACAATTACGCCTTCACAACATCTTCTGACAGGCAACCGTTTTCATCAACTGTTTATACATTTGTTAAGCACTGTATGTGTTGGCATTGCCTACATATTACATATATATATGTAAATATTTATATCTCTTGGCATGTTACTGGGGTTACAGAACCAAATATATGTGGTAAAATGTAAACAAGGATTTGTGGTTGAACAGGATAAAAAACAAAAACGAATCCACACATGTCCTCCTCCTCCTCACTTTATATAAATGTCACACTATTAAGCATTAGTAAGGTATTAGCAAGTGCCTGATTTATCATTTATACATCATTACTCCCCCTTAGTATGCCATTTAGACTTGCTATTAATTCTTAATAGTGTGACTTATTAAAAAGTGCTACTAATGTTATTTATTCTTATGTTTTATTGTTGTTTTTGTACTATTTTAACATGTTTAAAAATCTATCTATCTATGCTGGTCTAGAAAAATACAGCTTATTCAAAAGTAGCTCACATTTGTTTATTTGAAAGGTTCCCTTGCATTCTTATAACAGCAGGTGAACCATTTAAAGTCCACCATGTTACTGAAAAACTATACAAAATAAGTTGTTGTTTTTTCACTGTGCAATAACTACAAAAATCAAAAGCATGTTGGGGACTATGACTGTCCCAGTCTAAAATCCCAGGCAAACAGATGAAGTATTTACAAGACCTCAACCACTACTTCTGCAAACCCTGCATACATTATGAACACCCTGAAAGGAAACAATGTGATATATTTGATAACCTTTAGCAATATATACAAAATTCAGACAGGTCAGGTTGCTCAAAAATTGTAAATTATTTGACCTGCATAACACATATCTCAGTTGCTCTGATGCAGGACAGTAAACTCTACATAGCTTCAAACCTGGGACCTTCTTGATACGAGGTGATGGTGCTAACCATCAGACCACCATGCTGTGTGTGTGTTCTCTGACATGCATGGCAGGCTAGGTGGTGATTCTAAATTGGCCGTAGGTGTCAATGGTTGTCTGTCTCTCTGTGTTAGCTCTGAGACACAATGACCACCTGTGCAAGGTGTAGCCTGCCTCTTGGTTGGATGGATGATGTAGGATAGAGAAGGTAAAGGGCAACTCTTTGGACCAGTCACACAAAAAAAGTGTTTAAGAGGTATTTTAGGTATGAGATAAAGTTAGATAGATAAAGACAGATAGAAGCAAAGTCAGAAAGCTGCTTCTGACTTTGCTTCTTAAAGTTCAGTGGAGAACATCGCGCCATCTATAAAACTGGCACGGAACTGGAAAACAGTCCAACAGTATAAGTTGCCACATTTTCTGCCTATAATTCTTCTTTCTGCACGGCTCTCATTCCCTCTGGAGGAAGAAATAACTTGTGTTGTTGAAGTGCTTGGCGTCTGTCATCTCTCTCAAAGGCTTTTGTTCCTCATTTTCTTCACTTTCGTTTTCATCACTTGGTGGGTGCTCTTTGTTGCTCTTTGTAGGGACAAAGGTCACCAAAGCTACTCCTTCTGGGGCAACCGGGACAGAGGGCGAAGGTTGAGATGAGTCATCACAGAGGGTGGTGAAATAAAGACTGTGCAGTTTAGAGATAAATCTGTCCTTGTGCCTGAATGACAATTTAAAAAAAGAAAAAGAAATATGAAAATGAAGGAGCTGACCGTACATCACATCTTAGAAATGACTAATGTTATGTCATAAATCTGCCCTTTTTTTGAAGAGATGCATTGAAAGTGCCAATGTCAGTACCCGAAAGTGTAGATGGCCAAAATGACAGACAAGATAGCGAATAAACCAAATATCCACAGCAAATGATGTGGCCACTCTTTAGGTTTTGGTGGAGGTTTTGTGGGATCTGTGGTAAAAAAGAAGGGTAGACTGTGATAAATCTTAACTGAGCAAGACAGCATCCATCTAAATACATCTGAGTGCAACTGAACGTCTGTGTTTGCGTGTAGGTGTGAGGAACCATAACTCCTGAGGCCTGTTTTTGTTGCAAGCCTGAGTTGTTATGATGACATGGTTTCCTGTTAAAACCCAGGGGGCAGAGGGGCCCTCTCTTCTTTTGGCTCTCTCGCACACACACACACACACACACACACACACACACACACACACACACACACACACACACACACACACGCACACGCATAAGTAACTGTAATATTTCACAGTTTGCATGCCAACTCACCATCATCTGGATATTGATCACCTGAACCTGAACCTACGGGGTAAATAATATATTTTAAAAACATATTAGTAAGATAATAATAAACGATAAACCTGAGATAACAAGGCAAAGTTGTATAAGGCAATTTTAAAAAAGACTGAAATTGTCCATTTCCTAAAGAACTATGTCAGACTGCAATAAGTAAGACATAGTTTAAGTGGTCCCAATAAGCAGACAAGGAGATGTTACAGCAGGGAGGAATAACTCCTGGGGGAAAATTATTCTAAACTGAATTCTGCAAACTTTTCAGGTGTTTATAGCTATGTTAGTTCAGAGTTGCCAAGCAGCAAGACATGCTTCTTTGGTTGTAAGAAGTTTTGGGTAATTTAGCAGACAAATTCTTTACCAATTAAAAGTCAATATGGCCTAACACTTGCTTTCAAAATAAAAAAGACTATAAATAATCCAACGTGATAGTGCCTAATCCAGCAGAATCTTGTTTCTCTCTTTCTCTCTCTCTTTTTTTGGAGGGCTGTTTCTTCCTTATTTTAAAAACAGGCTGAAAGAAGTGACCATTAAAGAGAACAGAGAGTTGGACTGATGTTTAAAAAGAAAGGTTTTTTTTCACCACAACAAGGGGAAGTGCACTAATGGTACACGGTCAATATCTCGAACCCCTAAGCCACTGAGAAACTTCTTAATAATAATAATAATGGATTGGATTTATATAGCGCTTTTCAAGGCACCCAAAGCACTTGAAAAGCTATTCATTCACTATTCATTCACTCTCGCATTCACACACTGGTGGTGTAGCCACAGCTGCCCTGGGGCAGACTGACAGAAGCGCCCCTTAAACATCTGTCACAGGATTTAAAGTTTAATTTCATTCAGCACAAATAAAGTCCACTCAGCTACTTCTGTGAAAACTTACACTCCTGTACTGTGCTTTAATTGAGCATATAGAATACTTACTGATAAACTTAAATATACTTATTTATTTTATTTTTTAGAGGTGTGTGTGCGTATTTATTTACCCGTTGGGGGGCTCACAGGATAAGGTATACTCCACTCACTCCACTGACCATCATGTTCTGCCTTATACCTCAGCTGTATCAGGAAGTCAACGTCAGGTGTAGGAGTCACTACGATGGTGTAGGAGCACTCTCCTTCAAACTGCTGTACCAACATGGACACATACAGGCAAACGTCTCCATTTACTGACACAACAGAGTGTTCAACTTTTCACAACTAAGTAAAACCTTGTCTACTTACGTTTTCGCCGTGAAAGGAGAGGTTCGTTTCCCCGTATTTGATCTCACAGATGAGTCTAAAATTGTGTGGCTCCTCGAAGTTTGTCGGTAAACTCCAGGACACCGTCATCATTGTCGTCATATCCTGTCCTTCCTCCAACGTCGCTGACACGATTGACGGAGGCTGAGGCTTCTCTGAGGGATCAGGGACGAACATGTAAAGGTCTTGTATGTGCAATATGACTAGTTCAAAAGATGACGAATTTGTCTGTAATTTACTTGAATATGAAATATTAGTCAGATATATTTCACAATTAAATGTTTTGCAATTAGGAGCATTACAACTTATCCAAAGGTACAATAATAAGTCTTTAAATCATTACTAATGTGTTTAATATAAACCAGAAGACTTTCCTAAAAATGAAAACACGCTTATTTGTTTTCTTCTTGGGAAATTAGCTAGTATTCCTCTTTCATGTCTGTAGAGCAATTGTGAAAATAAATCAGAAGGCATCTTAACTTACAGACGGGCAAGATTAACCGATAAAAACAGAACAAAACAAAACATAGACCACAAAGTGGTTTCACTTTCATGTCTAAACTTCGACTTTAAAGGGAATTTGAAGTATTTAATCTGGGAAGGTGCAACAGGACACTGTTACTCATAAACTTTTTCAACCACTTCATCAACTGGTATCCTGAATGCTGAGCCAATCTGCACATATTCAAGTCATTCATAGAGGAAGAAAAATTGGAGGCTGTATAAATGTACATGAGAGGATGTTTAAGCAAAGTTTTTCATGAGAAAGTCTAATCATATGGCACAGAAACAGAAATACTACCTCGTCATGACTCTGTGTCTAGGATGGATCATTTTTCTGATTTTTTTTTCTTGGGTTTGTGTAAATTTACCTGTCCAGCTCTTAGCATAGGTGGATGGACTCCATTCACTCCATTGTCCATCAAATTCCTCTTTAGCTCTGACTTGTATCAGGTACTCAACACCAGGCATTATATCAGTGATGGTTGCTTGCCGCTGGCCATCAACTGGCAGTACCTGAATACATACATAAAAGACAAAAATCTCTGAAACAAAACTGCGTTTTCTGTTTCATGCCAGCGTAATGAACATTGAAAAAAAACAAAAAACATACACACTTAGTAGTTTGACAACAGGTGTCTCAGCACTGACCTGTTCGTTACCAATTGACGGTTTGACAGGGTTGTATTTAACTTCATAGATCAATTTATAGAAGTTATCTTGCACCTTCCAGGATGTCGGTAAATTCCAGGAGACCGTCAGCCTGTTCTTCTTTCCTTTCTCCTGTCGGACTGACACATTTGACGGAGGGTCTGGTTTTACTGAGGAGTGGGAACAAACACAGTGAGCACAACTTTAAAGCACTTCAG